ACTGTCAAAAACTGGTTAAAGCCAAAAGCGCAGGTTAAAGCAGTAGAGAAGGCAACCAGAACACAGAGCTCCTCAACAATCTGGTTCAACCAAAGAGCAGGAAGAATAACCGCATCCAAGTTGAAACAGGTTGTGCAGGGCAGTCTACAAAGACCATCTGATAAAGTCAATATGCTACCCGGAAACACAAAAGTTTTCAACAGCAGCAACAAGGTATTTATTAGGGAAAGGTAAGGGATGAATTATAATTTGTTTGCACGGCTACCAAGTTCTGTTTAACTTCAGGCAGGGCATGTTTCATTTGAAAAGGTTCATATTGCAAACGTTTATTTTTCCCCTGACATGTCACTATTTTACATTTCAGATATGGCTGTAAATTTGAGGCAACTGCTCGAAAAAAGCAGCAGAGCTGCTTGAAGGCCAGTCCCATGAGGGATTTTCTTGTGTGGATAGTGGGCTGTGGCTAAATCCAAAGTGGCCCTACATGGGAGCTTCACCTGATGCAGTTGTTTCTTGTGACTGCCACGGAACTGGGGTTTGTGAGATAAAAGTAAGACAAATGCAGACTTTTTGCAGTAGGGTTGGTCGATCTGGGAAAAAAGTTGTAACTATGTCTGTCAAAGTTAACACTTTAATTCATGCAATTAATCACAAAAAAATGATGCTTTAATCAGAGATTAATCTCAGAGCCTGGTGTCTCCCAAAGCTTCCCTGACCAGAGCAGGGACAGATTGTTCTGAGCACACCGGTCACATTCACACATTTCTTGTAAAACAGCACCATTTCAATATTAAACTTTAAAAAACAAATGTTAACTTATTAATGTATTCATCATGATTATGTTAACATTAGAGATCCAATCTTTAATGTTCATTATTTTTCAGTGTCCAGAGAGCAAACAGCATGAGGTCAGTCTGAAAATGTGCGCAGGCCAGCCAGGATTCTGTCTCATCAGGGAGGGAGATTTTGTACAGCTTGACAGGAATCATCCATATTATTTTCAGGTTCCGGCTCAGCTTCACATTTTGGATGTAGAATACTGCAACTTCATAGTTTGGAATAAAAATGATATATATATTGAAAGGATACTGCCTGACATACAACTCTGGGATACTGTGATCCCCGTTGTTCAGCAGTATTTCACGCATTGCATCCTCCCCGAAATATTAGGGCAGAAATTCACACGTGAATAATGAAACAATTATTTGCGTTTTTCTTCTACTATTTCAGCTGGGGGCAGGGGCCAATATAACTCTTAGAAATAGCAGTTTTTAAAAAAACATGTTGAAAATATAATTACATTATTCGATTCACAAAGCCCTAAATTATTCTGACGTCGTTTCTACTGGCCAACAGCATACACTGCATGAAAAGTTAGATTTTCGTCACCCTAAACTGCAGGAAATCACGCTCTTTTTCGGGTATCTCAGGCAGTTTTCAGAAGGCGCAGTTAGGGTGCCCTGTCCTCCAAACTGCCGTATCCGTACCATGCTAATGTCCCTACTTTGCATATGAATGCAGCGAAACACTGCGACCGCCGAGCGCTAATGGCCCTAATTAGCATATGAATGCAGCGGCTGGCCAGGCTGCTATTCAGCATTGGTGAATACCACTACTTTCAAACTCGTGATTGGCTGAAAAATCACACGTGGCCAGCCCACGTGGGATTACTCCCCATTGGTAGCTTACTCCCCATTGGATGAAATCACTACTTTCAAATAAGTATAATCTCTCGTGATTGGCTAGCAGATCTGTCACTATTGGTCACCCTGCCTCATAATTAATGTAATAATATTTATATAAATATTCGTATTATTTATAGAAATGAAAATTTTCCAGGAATATGTTCATACAAAGAAAGCTTTATAAAAACACACACACACACACACAGCTTTATGCTCACACATAGGTAATTAAAAAATTACAACTCTGAACTGTCCAATAGCCTCCTCGGGGTTGTAATTTGGCAGGGTTCTAGATAGACGCTTAATGTGCGTGGCTCTGTACTTCCGCGCCACCTCTAACCGGGACTGCAGCTTGACAGAGTTCAGAAAACTCCGGCTTTCGAAAAGACTGCGACCGCACAATCCATCCAGAGACACCGTCCACAACGCCTTCTTCTTCATTGGACATTAGGTCTACCGTGGCGGACTTCCAGAGTTCCACTTTGTCACTTTCTAGCACACTCAGTCTCGATTCCAGCGGCTGAAAGAATCAGTAAATATTATTAGCCAAATCAAATCCTTTTTCCCCATCTAAACATAGTGTCTAAAGCAGACCTGGAGATTCTTATCCATGCATTTGTCTCCAGTAGGTTAGACTACTGTAACAACAGCTGCAGTACATTCAAAATGCAGCAGCTCAAGTCCTGACCAGAACCAGGAAGTACGATGGTAAGGCAAGTTTATTTGTCTAGCACAATTCATACACTATGCAACTCGAAGTGCTGAGCAAAATAAGAAAGCATTAAAATAAATAATCCCAGTACATTAACAAAGATAAATATAAAATACCTCAGTTGTAGCACAGCTAAAGTGACAGCTCCTCTCTGACAATGTTTAAAACCAGGTTAAAGGGAGAAACAGTAAAACACTTACACACAATGTCGTCTTTATCAACATCGTGGAAATGTGGACTTATTGTTCACATTGTATTGCAGATATTGTGTTAAGCAAATAGGAGGTCACCGTCTCATTACGAGGCGAGATTAGTCTGAAAACAAAGTGTACAGTTATAATTGGTATCTATACATATCCATTACCGACACAAAACGTGTAGGTAAACCAAATTCAATTTCCATGGATACATTAACAATACTTACATAACCTTTTTGAGAAAATGGATCCTTCAATGAAGAAAAAAGTGTGATAATTCTAAGAGCATAGCTTTCTTTTTGTTTTCGGGAAGGCATTTGTCTAAGGAAAGAAAAACACTCATGGTCAAAGGACTTCATGGTTACATAAAAAGGCTAAATTAATAGTATCTACAAGTACATATTTTCACGGGGACCAAACCAAGAGATAATCTACAGGAGAACATCTACCTAGGTCATTTATAAAAGAGATCAGTACTATTTATCTTACAATGGGGAATCAATAACAGTGCTGAGAGAAACTGAATTGTTATGTGATTATTGTGAAAGGTCTTTCAAGTGATTTTCATTTTATTTTGAGTAAATATCCTTCCACTTGTAAGAAGGAACTTTTGAGTAATAACTGAGGGACACAACATACCCATGTGTTTCACTCATGTCACTGACGAGAAGGTCGACAAGTTGTCTTCGAGAGCGGAGATCTCACAGTGATCTCACAGAATTATAATCTTTAAGGATCTCTCGGTCACCAGGGTTTTCCTGCAGTTCCACCATCTACAAACACGTGGAAAATGTAAAATGACAATCTACAATTGTACCAAAAATCTTAGGATACAAAATGCAGCAGTACCTCTTTTGCTGTGTACCTTTCTCTTTCCCATCTCCTCTGCTGTACATATGTGCATTTCAACACCAAACACAATCATATGTCATTTCTTTTTGTTATTGCTTTATGAACTTACAAAGGAATCGAGGTGCCGGACAATCTTGGAAAGCTTAGCGCCAGCAGTCCCCCTTTTGGCCTTAAAGAGCTTGATGAACTGTGTCGTTAGGCAATCCAATGCTTCAACGAAATCATTGCCCAGTTTGGAGCTGGTGATCTGGTTAAATTCTGCCAGGACCTGCAAAAAAAAACAACATAAAACACTTCAAGTTAAATGCATAGATGTAAAAAATATGTACACACCTGTCTCTCTGTATGAAGTGCTGGCCAGCGCGCTTTGACATTTTCCACAGGTGGGGCAGAATTGACTATTTCTTGTTGTCGGACTGCAACACGCTGTAAGCAAAAAAAGAATAATCAATATATATAAAACAATATCACATGATTTTTGCTCAAATGTGTTTAAAGGAGGTCTAGATTCACTCAATAACATTATTAAGCAATGGACTTAATAAAAAAAAACAAAAAAAATGAACAGAAAGACAACAGTGACAAATGAGATGAAAAAGTACAGTAATAAAAGTGAAAGTCTTAGCGCTCAAACAAAGACAGGAACAGTGCAAAACAAATGATATATGTTAGATATTCCACAGAACTGTAGTCCACAGTCTCCTGTACATCAGGCTCTGCCATGAGCCCAAACTGCTTTTCCTTCGGTTCTTTCGAAGCAGTCTGCTCTGTGCGCCTCGTCCCTGCTCCTGCAGCAGTTCCATGCTTTACAGAAAGTTATCACACATGGAGAAATCACATATATATGTGATATATATATCACATATATATGTGATATATATATATCACATATATATGTGATTCCTAGCTTCCTAGCGGCGGCGGCCCGCGTAGTTAGGGCCGGGAATATGGCTCTGAACATGGCTACAGTTAGCTACTAACAGCTCCATTCACCGCTGTCCTCAGTAAACTCCCGGAGGCCGGACAGAGCTCTCTCAGGCCTCCGGGAGAGCGGCTCTGAACACGGCCACAGTCACTGCATTCACCGCTGAGCTGGTCGAACACACAAGTTTTATAAGATAATATAGTCGAATGTATACTCGTTCTTAACACACTTCTTTAGCTTTTTTACCTTTATAACAATGAACAACGTGTCTTAACACTTACCGTACATTCAAAAGAGTCCTCTCTTCACGTTCCAGACCGCACCGTCGACTTGAGGCAAAGTATTTCGTTGCGTTTTGCGCATGCGCGAAATGCGCATTCAGTTTGTGAAGTCCCCATGTTTTGGTTGTGTAAAGAGAGTGATGATAACACCAACAACCGTTTGTGTATATACTGGTCAAAGTGCTCGTGGGTCCTCCGGTATGATACTCCGTCTGGTTGGGAGGCCACCAGCAGACTGAAGTCGTCTGCCAATGATTTGTGTCTGAAGGTCAGGAATGTAGTTGTAATCCTTTGCTTCTTTGACAGTGTGTACCCGATACCGTTTCGATTTTTTGCTGTACAGTCTCTTTAGGCTACAAGATAAGTAATTTCACGTTAGAAGACAACTATATTTATGACTTGTCAATAGGAAGTAGTGAATGATACTTACGACACTTGGCCTTTGCTGTACACATGTGCCGGACGGCTGTTGTGGTGATTGTAGTCCAAAGCTGCGAGAAGTGTTCTTGCTTCATAAACAAAAAATGAAAAAGCAAACCGCTTTCCGGCATACATCAGAATATGGTTTTGGAATGATTCCAGCTGTGAGGTGGTCCTGCAGGGAAAGTAAGTAGGAAATAGAAGAAACACAAATCATTCAAAAAAACAAAAACTGATCTCTTACCGAAATGTGAGGAACTTCTCCACATCCTTCAGCCATCTGCGGTTCAGCACGATCTGTGACAGTGCCACATGTGCTTTAGAGCCAGTTGGTACAGGCTCTTTAGTGCCATCATCCCCCAAAGGACCATGAAGGCATCTACCCAGGTCCCACTCATGCACGCCACTAACATGGTGCAGTACACCTCGCCAAATGTCCTAATAAGCAAACATAAGAAACTGAAAAGGTATAGTGAAAATGAGAAGATAAATTCTAGTTCTACTTTACTTACCATGAACTCTTCTCGGCTGCTTGCATGCTGACAGGCATACCAAAAATGGTTAACAATGTCCTTGATCCACCCAAGGATTTGTTTTTGACCTGCTAGGACACCCGCATATCAAAGTTATTAGTTTTGGTTATGTCTATAAAAAATAATTGAATGAGAAACGATATGAACTATCACTTACAGCATGAAGCCTCTTAGTTAGATTTTTTGCAGCATGCCAGACATCCAGGGAATGGGTAACTCCATGATCCATATATCTTCCCCGTTCTGGATCTATTATAAAGCTCAAAAATGCAGTAAGCACAAAATATAGCACATCAAATAATACAGACAAAAATACTTACGCATGAGGGCTGCAATTTGCACATGGGCGTCAGTCACAATCTCTTTGACTTTTAATTCTTTCGTGAGATCATCAAATGTTTTGATGAACGCTGCCTTCTCCATAGAGACACTTTTTCCACCAACTTGCCTTTTATCAACATTGACAACACTGATAATGTCCATTGTGTCAAGTTCCATCGTTGTGTATGTGCAAAACGTTGCAGAATGACCTTGTTGAATCAAATATGGTGAAACACAAAGTAATACACAATAACTATGTTGTAAAGTGAAAGGCTTCAGACTTACCTGGTGAGTCCATTCTCCCGTCAGCTGTAACAGATATAGTACTTATAGTGACTGCAAATACGACAAAGATTGTCCTTTAACACATTACTTACCAAGGGCCACAATGCCATCTTTTGACTTTAATCGAGTTACAATAGACAACCTCTTCTGCTCCCAAAATGCCTTTATTTCAGGTACGCAGTAGGAGTGTTGAATTTTGTAATAAGTTGTCGTTGAAACCATCTTCATATTCATAAATTTGAAGAGGAGGGCAATCTTAGCAAAATTATTACCACTCAGTAATAAGTTGGCAGATAACATAAAATCGCCTCCTTGCATCCCATGTCGAAGTACAGGTTGACTGTTCCACATCCATAACTTGTGTCCATAAGAGCAGAACTATGGAGAAAGAAACAAATAACTTTTACTAAATGTATAACTACACATTTTGCCTACCCTAAATACCAATCTCTAATTTCAGCATTCACTCACCCATTCCAATATGATTGATGTGCCCCTAGAACGTGATTGAACCGAAAATGGAGGCCGAACCGTCACACTCAATACCAGAAACCGGATCGCTGTAATGGCATTTGTTGATGGGCAGTTGCAGAAAATTAGCCATTTGCAGCAAGCTAATAGTATACGCTATGCATGCTTGTTGGTGCACTAGGTCAGTTTCAGCAACCACACGAATTGGCTTTGGGAATGTTGATATGTCCTGCTCAGACTGATCCTCAAAGTCCTCTGGTTCTCCGGGATTTTCTGGGTCACAGATGTCCAACACAGCTTCTTCTATGCCGAGGATGGGAAGATTGTCAACTTCTCTTTGAATTGCAACACCAGCACTGAAAAAAAGAACAATTTGATGCTTTTTCAAAAAACAATTAGGGAAGGACTTCCATTATTTTCAGGACAGAACATTTAATAAAAAAAAACCTCAAAGATATAGGTGGGACATATTCCGAATCTAATGGATCTGAGGCCAAATCTTCATCAAACTCAATCCTGTGAAAGTAAACAGGTCATATTTTAAAACAATCAACAAAATATTTCTTTTTAAACATGTTAAGTAACTTACACACTGTCTTCTAGATTGTTTGCCCGTTTTTCGTTTAACCAAAGATCTGAATGTCTAAAAAAAAAAACAATAAATCATATAAATAAACGACCTAGAAATGAGAATACAATGTACATCTTAATGTGAATGCATGTCTACCTTTTCTCCAAAACCTCCAGCTCTTTCTCCTCTTTAAAAGGCTGCACCCCTGCCACAGATAAGTCATCCCTGTTAAAAAATACAGTTTGTTTCAGTGAAATTGTCAATAAGGCTTGAATCAAACATAATGCCAATCCCATTTTTCTGGGAAAAAAAAGTACCGGTCAGATTCTACGGGACTGATTGAACTCGGGAGATCACCAGTCGCAGTAGTGGTTTTAGGAGTTGAGGCCTTGGGACTCCTTGATGCCATAATTTTTTCATAGCTATAAAGTAAATAAATACACGTTACCTATACACACATGCATCTCATTGTATTCCAGTTGGACTAACCACATTATATTACTAATATAGTCTGCAATTCTACGATACATATAGTACAGGTACTGAGGTACATAATCACTGCATCTGCAAGTTTCATAATGGTTTACATGCACAGTAGCAGCCCAATAATGTACACAGCTGTACTAAGCTAACAGATGCTAACGTTCATTCAAAAGCACTAATCAACGTAACAGTCATTATTTCTAGACATTCTTCATACAGAACAAAAAAAATGCTGAATGTGTCTCGCCAATCTGTTACTGTTCAGAAAAAAACCGAACCAAATGGAATCCAGTCCATGTTGCTAAGTCAAAAAGCTAACACACAATAATGCTATATCTCTTCGTATTGGTGCAAGACACTAGGACGTTTAGAACTGAGTCACCGTCTTACCTTCTAATCAAGATAAACGCCAAATGAGGATCATTTTTTATCCCCAGAGCGTTTCGGAGACTTCTCCATTTCTCAAACGCATGGCCGAGAGCGACTCGGGTCTGAGCTCTCCGCCGGTCGGCCTCTCGCTTCGCTCTTTTCGTAGCACTAGTGACAATCTTTTTTCTCTTCGCTTGGCGTGGAGTTCCAGACGGTGATTCTGAAGCTGGTCTCTTAGAGAAACTGCTGGATCCATCTTCAAATACGCGTGATACGAGGACGGGACAGATCCACTGAACGCGAGGGAACATATGGAGCCAAAACAGTGAACGGGCACGCGCATTGCGTCACTTCCGCTTAAACAGCGCGCGAGAAAGCGACCAGAGTCAGGGATTTCTCAATCACTGTATGCGCTCACAGAAGCAACCACAGTGAATCTGCTAATGCTCAGTTTACACACCAGGCAACTGCTGATGGACCACAGATGCAAAATATTGCATTATGGCATTTTTTAACTTACGCAATGCACCTGTCAAAATTATCGTTTTGACTCACGTTAATTACATTTTTTATTAACGCGTTATTTTTTTTAAATACCCGCCCATTTATCCATAAGAATATCACTCAGAATGCTGCGTGTGAGATGGCCTGCTCCGTGGCCGCTCTGGTTGTTGTTAGCGGCTGTGAGTGAGTGCGAGCTTTGCACGGCTGCAAGCATGGATCTAGCTATTATAATAACAGCAGCAAGCGATTGCTCCGTTCACATACTCAGCGCTCTGCGCACTGTATTTTCCCTGGTTCTTGTCTGTCAGGCGCGCTCTGCGCACTGTATTCTCCCTGGTTCTTGACTGTCAGGCGTGAGTGTTGCTCGTGTGTGTCTTTGGGAACTAATTATTTTAAAATAGTCTCTCTTTCTATTGCAAGTTTTGTAATCTGTTTGTTTGATCAATGGATAAAAATAAATGCAATTTAATTAAATGGCACCTTGGCCTGTCTTATACCTGTTTGCCTGCAGGACAGTTCCCTAAACTAACATATCATACTAAAATAGGGTGGGGTTGTTGCAACAATTAATCTACTTTGAAGTTATCCTAAATTACAGCCAGCTAAAGCTCGGTACCACGACAAACGAAAAAGTAACGCAATAGTTACTTTTACTGCTAACTAGTTACTTTTATAGTGGAGTAACTCAGTTAGTGAGTCAATTACTTTTTGGTAGAAGTAACTAGTAACTATAACTAATTACTTTTTCAAAGTAACTTACCCAACACTGGTAATTATATTTGATAATCTCATTTAACTTCAATTGGAGTGGATTTGAAATAGAATGTTAAACATGCGATTAATCGTGAGTTAACTCACCATTACTATGCGATTAATCAACTAAAAAAAATGAATCGTTTGACAGCCCTAGTATATATATATATATATATATATATATATATATATATATATATATATATATATATATATATAATTTGAACCGAGAATAGAACACATCTTTCATGTCATGAATAAAAATAAAAAATCCAAACTTTTGGTCTGTACTGTACATACATGAGATGAGCACTTACACTTTCAACATGTCTTTTGTCCTATTAGATTTATTTAATTGATTTTGACATGACAAGCTATAATCAATCATGATCAAAATTGTGTGTGTGTGTGTGTGTGTGTGTGTGTGTGTGTGTGTTTGAGCATTTACAAAATCCGGGTCTACGGTGTGCTCCCCCTCAACCCTGATTAGCATTTGTATAGCTCACAGCATTGCCATTTACATGTTAAAGCCTCCTGTGGAGGAGGAAGGAGGGGACAACAAACTGCCGAATCCCAGAAGTTTCACAGTAATATACAGGGCCGAAAAGGCATGCTTTTCACTTCACTGTAGCAAATTATTGCTTGCTCATGTTTTGCATGAACTTAGTTTGCGATTTTTAAAGCCAACAAAGGCAAACGTAACGCTGCCCCGGCGTGGGTTGCGTTGCCTTTGCTTTTCACTTTTAACTCCCTAAAATAAAATAAAGATTTAATTAACGCGCTCCTCTCTATCCCATAGAATAAGTACAGAAAGGATCTTTTGAGAAGAATAGTGTTTTTTTTTATTACAAAAATAAGGTGTTAAGTAAAAATTTTTAAAGTAATATACTAACTGTTTTGTTACTGTTATTCCAATACGTGTTTGTTCAGTGTTTATCACAGATGTCAATCCTTTGGCATTCTGCGGGTTGTACGCAGAAATTCGTTTGATTTTGTCCTACTCATTCTTTCAGTTCTGACCTGTCAATGCCTGGAATTGGTGTTTTTTCAGATTTGTTCATTATGATTAGTCAATTGAAAACTAAAATACAATATTTCCCAAAATCCATCCTGCTAAATCCTTAGTTTCTTAATATGTCATTAAGATGGTAACCCAGTACATTTTTATCTGGCGCTATCCATTTTTTTTATTTCCGTGGCCCAAATTATAGGCAGTTTGGCATTAGTATGAACAAGCTGTCTTACCGTTTTTATTATGGAAACATAAAATGACAGAAACATTAGCTTTGTTAAAGCGGAAGATATTACGAAGGACATGAGGTTCCCTTTTAATGTTCGAATGATTGTGGTGGTTCGTTTTACCTTTCAGTCGTTTGGGTAGGCAAGCGCTACAAGTTAAAGGTAGCGTAGGATCTGAACTGAATTGATCTAGATTGTTCCAAGGCTCAAGTCCACTCAGGAATGTCAAAATCCTGTATTATCTTACATATGCAAAACATCTGATCTGGTGATTGGGACGGGACCGGGAATTAAAACATGGGACGTGGTCGGCAGGGGGAGGGAGGGGTCGTGTGTGTCTAAATGCAAGCCCCATGATAAAGTAGGTGTGCAACCGATGGCCTAGTTACAGTTGTTGTTACGATGGCTGTGATCAACGCACAGTCAGTGTTTTGCTCATCTGGTCCCTGCGTATGGAAGGATGGACGACTTGCCACTATCGCAACCCACATGGCCACAACGGGAATAAGAGCCTTTTATTTTCTTTCGCGATAACTATCAAGCCTTTCATTGTTGTGGAGATGAAGGAAAGCAAGCCACGTAAAGTGACAGGTAAATGTACTTGTTATTATTTAATTATATACTCAAGTTTGTTAGTTTCTATGTGAACTAAAAATAACAACAGGCTTTACGAAAACTATGTACTGAACAATGTTTCTCTTTCAGTCAGGGAGATGGAAATAATAGACTCCATCCTGAGAGCAGACGATGAACTACAGCAAGAAAAAGTTATAAGAGCTTCTCCAAAGCAGCACAAAACATAACGATCGGGTTACACGGTGTGAAAGCAGTCCAGGAATCTTGGCGGGTAATTTGGGAAGCCAAGGTAACACGCGGTCTCTTTATTAATTACTTATCGTGATAACCGGGCTCTCAACATGTCATTCTTTTGTTACATTTTGATAAATTTGCTTACACGATTTCGTTCTAATGACCCGAGGTAAACAAACGGACTGCGTGTATCCTAGTCAGATAGGAAGGCTGCTGGTGAAAGTTTGGATGTGTCTCTTCACTGTCGAGTCAATGTGGCACGAGAATGTTTTGCTTGACAGTGCTGAGAAAGACCTTCTTAAGGGGATTGCAAAAACCAAGTGTGAAGCTCCGGTCAAAATGAATGTTTGGGGTGGAATTTCTCGATGGGGCACCTCGGTCCGTTGGTATTTTTGTCAGGTGTAGTTGATGAAGTTTTGAAAGCATGATGCAAAGTAGCTATGATAAATAAATTGTTACAATATGCTATTCTTCAATATTTAAACCCGCAGGTATAATGGATCATACTTCTCACGCGGATAGAAATCATCAAAAAGCTGCCTGGTCCATACAGTAAGGGAGCAGTTTCCGTTATGTCTACACATAGATTCTTCCAGGTAGGCTAACATCTGTATGCCAAATCTTCAGCATGATTTGACAAAGCAACATCGTGATGTTTAGGCTACTAATGTTTGTTTAATGATTATGTTGTCCCTCTAATTTTTCCTGTTTGATTTTTTAAGAATACGATCCAAAAAAACACACAGCTATAAAGCTGTCAAAGCCTGCCATTGAAAGGGAGGAGGTATGGATTGCAGTGGGAGGAACCCAAAGCGGATGCATCGAGGCAGGTAAGGTTCACATTTATTTCCAAAAAAATCTAAAACAAAAACTGAAGAGGCTGAGGCGACGGGGGCAGGCAGGCAGCCAAAGTCGAACCAGGAGGAGCACGGAGGTAACCCAGGCGAGAAACCTACCTGGGCACTCTCTCGCTAGCGCTGACATGTATGATTCACCAAATACGTCAGGGACAAAATGCAGGTACAGGCTTCTACCGATGAGACGGATTTATCTGGCAGTGTGGAGAGGACTGAGCAGAGGGTTTTGTAGGCTGGTTCCTATTCTAAGTCAGTGTGCCTGATTGCTGCCATGGGACAGCCTCGCCCCCGTCAAACCACCTGCTCTGCAAAGAAGGAAT